GTTGTATTTATGTGCACCCAAAAACCCCTCTATGGCTTCATTACTATGAAAGAACTGAACTGACAAGACCTAGCAGATTAGGTGCTGGAAACCTAAATACTTAATTTTCAATATTTAAACTTCTGTACTTCATAACATCCATTATATGGTGTGTAACCATATACACACACAAAATTGATCTGAATTTTCATTACAATGTGGAAAGAGATTATGGGACACTTCAGTTTTCTGCAGATAAAAATTAATACCTAGCTTTAATAAATATACTAAACACAAAGTCTTTTGTTCTTAATTTGCATCAGATAGGAAAAAAGATAGAAGCATCTATAAATACTGATGAAAATAGATGTAGATGAACTCAACAGTAATTTCCTGGCACAAAATATGAGTAGAAGTCAATGTCATTCTACAGATAAACATGCATTTTTCATACCAATAAATAATGCTATAAATCTTGCCACACTGGACTGCAAATAACTCCAGCTGAATAAAACTGCATGACATGGGATTTACTTATCCCGTACGTTCACAGAAACAACTTGTTCTCTGACAGCACTCATTCTTGGCAATTTATTGCAGCTGTCAGCAGCCAATTTGTTCAGATTACTGCTATGCATAAAGGTATAATAATCATGGGGATTTATTATCTGATTATCGTAAAGGTGACAGTCATGATTGCCTTCAAAAATACAGATGATAAGAAAGTTAAATAATTACATGAAGATTAAAATAATTTAACCTTCATTTTGATCTTAGTATTACCCACATAAGCTTACTGCAGGATGTGTTTTTAATCACAGGGGTATATTGACTCAATACAGAAGAGAAATTACTTACTCATGGCAAAAACGTGAATATTAAATGTACTCAAACTGAACAATATACACATATCCATATGTATTTCTGCTTATCAGATGAAGCAACAACTAACACTGCTCATGCAAGTCCACATGGTTATTTGAACGCAAGAAGGCTGCCCCTGTGGCTTTAGTTGCTGGGACTTCATGTGCTTGGTCCCTTGGTCCTGGAATACCTTTTTTTTTTTTTTTAAAATTATATTCAGAAGAATGCTAGAATTTAATCTAATGCATGCTGAAACTGGTCAAGCCCAGTGTTTCCTCATACAAATCAGCGTATGATTGGAAATAGGTTTTCCTCAAAGCTTTTGTATGAAGTCTTTTCCCAGGCTTTTGAATTCCCAAAAGAGACATTGAAATGGTTGTAGGATTTTGGTTTTTTAGGGTATTCCAACATGGAGGTTCACAAGGTGCTACATCCTTTAAACTGCCATGGAGAATGCACACAACAGAGACTCAAATTAATTTTACAAACACATACTGCCCAAAGTTAAGCATGGAAATCAACCAGTCAGCATCTTGTTTCAGGAACAGCCACGCTGAATACGCCTGCGTACAAAGACCAAGCCAAAGCTTTATGCTAGCTCTGTGACAGGCATATCTTCTTCTCTGAACTAGGATGCCATGCTGTCACTCTCACCCTCTCAATACTGTCCTTCCTTTTGCAAGCCATCCCTTCCACAACATCCTCCTCCTCTCATGCCAGCCCAAAGCCAGAACCTCATGTCCATGTCCTCAGCCTTCTCAAACATCCTTCCTCCATCTTCCTGCCCTCAAAAAAAGGATGGTAAGCCCCAGCCCTTGCAACCTGAGCACGTGTGCCATCTCCACCTCATCATATTCCCAACTTCATCCTGAATATGCTCCAGCCTAATGAGTACAACGATACATGCAAGGCCCACAGAAGTCTACACTCCTGATTGCCAACTTATTTTATGTCACTGAAGTGTAGCTGAGACACAGGATAATGCCAGTAGAAGTTATATCTCTCTGCTTTGGAAGAAAATTTGCAAATTACAGTGTTTAGCACAGAAAAAATACTTCAACTCAAGGGGGCTTCCTGTGATGTCGTCCAGGAGGGACCTGGAGGTTGTCCCTTTGACATTCCACCCAGCAACCCTGTTCTCCCACAGGCATCTCAGTTTGGAAACACTGAACCAGTTTCAGGGATGGTACCGTTCAAAGAGATTAAGGAAGAAATGTTTTCCTGTGTCGGTGGAGAGGCAGTGGCCCAGGTTGCCCAGAGAAGCTGTGGATGCCCCATCCCTGGAGGTGTTCAAGGCCAGGCTGGATGAGGCTTTGAGCAACTTGGGCTAGTGGGAGGTGTCCCTGCCCATGGCAGGGGGGTTGGCACTAAATGATCTTTAAGGTCCCTTTCAACTCTAATAATTTTGTGATTCTATGATCCCCTGGCAAAGCATCCCGACAACACCTATTTTGCACAGGAAATTCTGTTGACCTTGGTGTGTGCTCTGCAAGCAAATGAATATCAAAGACACAAAAAAACCCAGCACTCTGGATGAGAGGCAAGAACTGCTCCTTAAACAAACTTTTTCTCCTGTTTTCTCAGTTTGAATCTCTTCAGTCAAGCATGGCTTCTCCCCAGCCACACTTTGGTCAGGCAAGCCATCTTCAAAAAATAATTGTTTTCATTTGCATTTAATAAAATTATTCCTATATAATAAAGCAGCTGCTGCTTGAGCACTGCTCAAGAAAGGCGGAAGATCACAATAAGGGATTACTCTCCATCACTGAGCAATGCTCAAATACTACCAGGAAGCCTTTTGTTTCCCTCCCACAACCTCCTTAGCACTTTTCCTGGGACCCGAATCAAAACACACAATTTATTACATGTGCCTTGAGAGCCACAGACCCCTAGCCATGGAGCACGACCAGGTCACGCTTTACAAAATTAATACACATTTGGCATAACACACACATGGAGCAAGTCCTTACTGCTTGTACCAAAGTACTTCCAGCTTTTCAAGGCAGCCTCAAAATGAGAAACTGGGGAAGAGAGGTTAATGTAAAGTGGAGCTGTCAGGTGTCGGTGATTTTTATCCACAATAACTGGAAAAGAATTATCAGGGAAGAGGAATATTAAGACATATTTTTGTATTCAGATTGAGTTTGACAAATGACAAAGTTTTTCATGGAAATCTTCATGAAGAGGAATTTGTTTGCAGGTTACATTACCCAGAGATAAGGTACCAACAGAAGGTGAAATGAGAGTGTCTGAAAGGACAAAGTGAAGAGGGATTATACAATACCAACAGCAGAGAGGTCACAAAAATCAAGAGCAGCAAGATTTTGGGAAAAATACCACTGATCTTGTTAAGATATACTGTAGAAGCACTACAGGTTATGCTTTGTCCAAGGAGCATCTTTTTGCTATATACAAGAATTACATCTATTTAGGAAAATTATAGAAAATAAAACAAAACAAGGTTCTCCCACTGAAAAATACCAAAGGCTTTAAGCATTCCTCTTAAAGAGAAGATTTCTCATGCCATCAATTTTTTGGGGCCTAAATAAAATGTAGAATACATTTGTTACTTGAGTAACAGCACAAAGTTACTAAAAAGAAATAGATGCACACTAAAGACATAAAAATTTTTTAGGTATCTGAAAACCTACCTAAGCAGTTCATGTGTCTGAAGCCACAAATTTTCCCTCTCTAATTTCTCTGTCACATTCTCCTTTAGGTTTCAAGTGCCTTGGAGCAAAAATGGTGTCTTTTATTTCACACGATGCTCTTAAAAATAATTAGTGGTAACAGTAACAACATAAGTGCTGCTTTGATGACAGTGTTCTTAAAAATTACATGTGAAAACTCTGAATCTCACCATCTTTTAGATAAGAAGGTTCAAACTAAGCAGAAAATAGGAATGATTCCCCAAGGTATATCACGTGTTAACACAGGACTAAATTATTATGTTACTTCAGAAAAAGATATTGTTACCACGTGTCAACTGAAATCAAGCAAGGCAAAAAAATACAATGCAAACTTCATAATATATAAATATGTACAATACATATCAATATAAACATTGCACCCCATCCACAGGCTTTGATCCTGTAAGATACAATCCTACTGCATATACTTTTGAAAAGTGGTTTTGTCCAATATTAAAGTTTTTGGTTGCCACGGGCTCTGTAGGTATTCCAATTTCCCACAGCTTATGATAGGAAATAAACACACAATATTATCCAAGTGATCTAATTTGACAAAGAAAGCCTTCAAGAGGGAGGAAAATATCAGCAGAAACATAACTGCATTGATAACAGAAGTATATGGTTCGGTCTGTGGGATTTCCATTCCTGATTTTAACTACCAAAAAAAGCAATTTTATCAGTTCATAGTACCAATGTCCTAGTGAAAGTGCCCACAACCAATATTCAAACAAAAAAAAATTTGCAGGATTAATAAGATTTACTATTATTATGACTGTATGGAAATCAACTGAAGTATGATGTAAACAGATATCTGAGCTTTCAAAATAGCACCAACTTTGTACATTGTCTATATGCACAAGAGTTTTTTCCCTTGTTAGCTAATAGCTAATGCAATTGTTAAAAGCCATCAGCATCTACCTTCTTCCTACACGGCAAAATGAAGCATAACCACAGAAATTTATACCATTTCTTGAACTCTAAGACAGATCCCAAAGAGTCACCTTTCCTGAAAATAAATTAGGCGAATTATTTTATTTCTTTGCTTCAAAAGCTGTGTGCCGTCTTTCAAGACTCTCATTTAAGATTAAAAAATATGTACCTAATTTTGGTTTTATGTGCCTATTACAAGTCATGAAGGTTATTTCTCCTCCAAGCTGGACATTGCCATATGGAACCTCCTGCATCCTGATTATTTTTCTAAATGTGAGATTTTTATTTTGGAAAACTTGTCTATCAATTGGTAAAAGCTGCCACCTACTGGTCAATAAATATTATTTTACACCATCAAAGTAAAGAATTCCATGAATGTAGCAAACTGTACTGATCCATTGTAAAAAATCCTTCCCCAACTTTAAAAAAAAAAAAAAGGCAAGAACAAACGGTCATAAGAAATAGTTTCAACAGCAAGGCTAGTTTTAATCATCTGCTCTCAGCCCCAAGGAACAAGAAGGCTGTAATTGCACAAACCTGCCAATAAAATCATCCTTTTTGCCAGCATCTTTGTCCCACACGGTAATATCAATAATTCCTCCTCGTTCTTCATAGAGATGAAAGTCAAACTGCTCTCTCCATTGAGGATTCAAAGTTTTTGGCACAATCTGAAAGGAGGGCAAAAAGAAAGTCATATTTCATCGTGCAGATACTTTCCTGAATTGTAAATGTGATCTTTAGAGTCTGTTCAGGAAGTTTTTTCTATTGCAGTATGAGTATCTTAAGCAGTGAGAATTAAAAAACATCAATTAGGCTACTGGCCAGTTCTCTGATGCCTCTTTGACACAACAGCAACCTCCAAAATCCTGCAACCTGTCACCTTCAAAAGCCTTCTGAACAAAGGATTCACCCTGGGAACTGATCCATTTTTCTATAGAGTAATTATGCCCTCTCTTGCGTGGCAGTTAGCTAAAAAGTTATATGTCTGAGACTACAGGAAAATAAAGCACCTGCAATGACAAAGTAGGTGGTGACTGTAAGTATTCAAACAGGAACAATTTTATCATGTCCTCTTTCCCCAGCTGCAGTAATACTAGGGCAAAGTTGATAGTACGATTTAGTTTTCAAGGAGTAATACTCCTTTTTTTCCTGGGCCTCTTCCTCACTTTGCCCTCCATCTGTTCATGAAAACCACACGGGCTGTCATGGACACTGAGAGAGGAAGGTCATCAGTGGTCCCAGCACCTTCCATAAGCAGCTATTTTCAAACCAACAGGGATTAGGAAAATAAAAAAATAATAGTGAGAAAGCCAAGTAAGTCTCCACTATTATTTTCTCCCTGATAAACCTTCTCTACCTTTTAACCTCATACATACACAAGACTTTAACGAAACTTGCTGCAAAGACACAAGGAGGAAAGTGAGAATAAAAGCATGACATGGTTTGAGGATAAGAACATGCAAAGGATCCAAGAGGCTACTGGCATCAAGCCAGAAAGGCACAAAGGTGGAATCTACATGTCAGAATCACTCCACATCTCTGCCCTGCAAAGAATGACCTATAACAGGAAATAAAGGCCAACACAACCTGCATGGAAAATCAGGTATGACTCCCCACCACCCTGCATTTTTCCCAATCTAGTATTACTTTTGTTTATAATGAAACAAAAAGAAACATCGAAACAAAGTTCCAGGTGCTCTGACAGCTAATTAATACAACAATAAATCTCCACCGCTATTTAAACAGTAATATTTAAATTACTATTTAAAAAGCCAGAAAACCACAAACAGTAACAAAGCATTTCAAACACAGACAATGTGCATTTGAGGTCACAGCTAGAATTACCTTGCTCTTGTACTTCTGATGCCCCAAGCGGAACTTCACGTAAGGATCGCTGAGCCCATTTGCATCCATTGCCTTAAGTTCACGACCTTCTATCAAGGTAATGCTAACTATCCCTCTCCATAGCTGAGATTTTCTGTGCAGATCGGAGAGACGTAAGCTCTGGGTCTGAAACTTTAGGGAAATAAAACCACAGATTTAGTTAAAACAATTCAAAAAAATTTCCCCTGCATTTTAAAGTTCAATTTTATATAACTACGAATGTAAAACAACTATCTTAAGCCAGAAGTTATTTGGCAGTACATATGTAAACTATATTACAAAGAATTACAAGGAGAGAAACAAAACAGTGACAAATATGCAGGTAATATCATATGCTGCTTTTGCAGAAGCAAGCAGAACAAATGTTATTTAAGGAAATGTTCAGAACAAAAAAAAGTGTTTTTTCCTGCTTCACTCCTCCCTCTGCTGATAGAGCTAACAACATTACAAATAAATGTTACACACTCTTTTATATTAGTAGCATATGACTGAATGAGCTTGAACAAACACTAAAATAAACAAAAATCAGTGAGAAAATGAAACTTCCATTAAAATAATATAAACCCACTATGAGAAGCATGGACCAAGGAGAAAATAAGCCAATAAACTCCCGTGAACATGATAATTATCTCAGCCTCTAAAACAATGTGGTATTCTCTGAAACATCAAGGAAAACTGAAATAAATACCAGCACATTAGCTCAAGAGCTTGAAAACAAGACATGGCAGAGCCTTTGATTGGAATTGCGCAGAAACTTTTGGGCTGTGAACCCTCAGCCGCTGACTTTGGGAGTTAAAAGAAAATTGACAGGCACCCACAGAAACCAGATGGCCAAAGCATCCATCAAAGAACTCCACTGGGGCTAGAAGAGGGCTGGTTATAAATTTAAGTAACTTAAGATCAGCTCCAGCTTGTTCTGAGCTATAGGGGGTACAAGGTGCTGCCAGGTGCCTCCAGAACCGGGAAATCAACTTGGTATTCCTGAGGCAGGCAAACACACCTCGGGTGCATCTGAGGGGCAAGGCTGCCAAAGACTCTCCCTTTTATTCTGAAATTTTATTAGTTCAAGGTTACCTTGTCTAAAATCAGAACACTGGATGGCTAAATAATATTTAAACTCACAAATTATTCTTCCTAGAAATAATAATTAAAAAAACAAGTCTGCATGGATACACAGCTGTAAATACATCAAATAGATGCATTTGCTTTATTATGCAAGGTACTTTGAGCAACAAAAGCTTTATGGGCTCAGCAACACCTCATAACATAAAACTGTGCTGCATGGTTGTCATAGTTTTGACCCTGGTGGCAGCAAACACCACACAGCTGTTCACTCACCCTCCTGGGGATGGGGGAGAGAATTAAAGCGGTAAAGGGAAAAAAAAAAAGAGGTTGAGATAAGAACAATTTTAATAACTAAACTACAATAATATCAGAAAACATAATAATGATGATAATAATAGTAATTTATACAAATATACAGATGAGCAATACACAGTGACACTGCTCACCACCCGATGACCAAGGCTGAGCCCGTGTCCATCTAACGATTCCAGCGCGGAGAGAGTTCCAAAACCGCAATCCCAGAATAGAGATAAGAGCCTGAGCTTCCAAGAGACTGAGACAACCGTGAGAGAGGGGAAACCCAGAGGGAGACAACCCAGAGTATGAGAGAGGACTTCCACACAGATCCTCATCTCTATACTGGCCATGCCGGGCATGGGATGGAATAGACCAGTGACCAGTTTGGGTTTCAATCCTAAACCTGAGGTCGAATCATGGGCTGGGAACTGGGGCTGTGCTCCCTCACAGCTTCTCCTGCCCGTGCAGACATGGACACAGCAGCAAAGCTGGAAAGTCCTTGACTGTCCTGGCAGCAGCTATAAACATCAGTGTGTGATTTGTGTTTTCTAATGTTTATTCATTCCGAGCTGTATGGTTACTCCCAAAAAATTTCACTAGATTTATTAAAGATTTCTCTTCCTGAAGTGAAGAACTTGACTGTGAAGAAAGTTCTCACAAACTTACTTTTTCTCCAAAGGCAGACAAGGAACTGCGGACTTCAGCTGAGAAGTGGAATAACCTTTAACTTAATCTGTGACATGAAGCACCTGAGGGACACCAGAAAGCAGAAACTCTACAGAAATTGGGGCCCAAGTGGGGAAACTCCATTGCCAGAAGATATTACATCTACAACATGGTAACATTAATCTTCATGAATTTTTTCTCAGCACAAATACACCTTCGCTGGGTGAATGCAGTCAACACCAACAAAGACTTGTGAAGAAGTGGTAGATTTTTTTTTTTCCTGTTCCAGTTTCTTAGATGGTTTAGAGCAAAAGAAAGACTGAATAGTAAATGACCAAAACTGACTCTTCTTTGAGCATAAAGTGATGAGAGATACAGAAAGAAGAGGAGACAAGACACATTTAGGAATATATTTCATACTGGCATAGAAGCAGAGGTTAGCTGAGCCTTTTTTTGACTAAGAACACACAGTTGTTGGGTTTTTTTTAAGAGTTCAGCAGTAATCCAAATTATCTCCAGGATACTATCATGGAAAATAAGCACGAGTTTGTATTTACAACTCTTTTAAAGCAAAGCTTGAGCATAAGAGCATAGCAATCTGCTACACTAACCATGAGACAGTGAATCATTCAGAGTATACGTGATCTAAATTTTGTATTTTCAATGGCTCTTAAAATAATTTGCTGCATTACAGCAGTTGCCACCATATAAAACATACGGATTTTTTATGACCAGTAGGGATTTTCATCAACGGAGGCACGGGCTGTGTGGCCTTCTCCAGGAAGAGTACCTCCCAGCTAGCATTCTTCTTGCTTCCAAGAGAGACTGAACAGAATACGAACCGACATCTAAAACATGCTTTCCTTCCAGTCAAAGTCACCCTTATCCTCAGAAATTACAGATAGATATATATATATATATGTGTGTGTGTGTATATATATACACACACACATACAGTCTTTCTTGTAGGAAGTAAAATAAACTAATATGAACTTCTGGATTTCAAGTCAAATTTGACAAAGAGCTAAATAAATGAAAAAAAGGAAAATTAGACTGATTTCATATGATAGAGTTGTTCCCTTATGGACTTAATTTCACAGTGTGAGTCAGGTACACCACTTCTAGGTACTTTTTTAGGTATCTAAGCAACCTTCTGTAATCCAGCCTACAGTGAGTCAGTTACAAAGTCATAGGGGAAACTGTGAGAGTAGAATGAAGAAACGAGCACAGATCATTCCAAATTTATTTCTCAATATTTCTCAAGACTAATTCTTAGATAACTTATTTCCCTCAGAAAGCAGGCAATGTGTATGTATTACACCCTGGCTTCACTCTTCTGCCAGAAACAAACAAACAAAAAAAACAACCCAGGAAGAAACTGCAGAGTTCTTAATTTCTCTAAGAATAGGCAGGAAGTTACGTGTTTCATAATATTTCCATCTGGAACTGTCCATACTGTCTATATAATGCCGCAATTTGGAAAGAAGCAAAGCCAAGATCTCAGGCCACAACCAGCTGTCACTAGCATGGGATTATTATTCACAATCCTGTGCATTCATATTCAGGCATGGAGACTCCCACCTGACATGTTCTAAATATTAAAAAAAAAAAATGGGGGGGAGGGGGGAAGAAGTTGCAGCCTGCATACTGCTTCCATAGAGAAATCAAAATTATACTTCTGAAAAGGTGTCTTTCATGACAAAGGATACTCAAAGCTGCCCATGAAAGAAAAACTCACTTCTTTCCATATCCATGCAGAGCTTTAATGCTTTTACTATAAACAGCAACCCAACATTATCTAAGTGGTAAAACTAGCCCTCCCATATTTAATGGAGGACACAGATCTATGTCAGAAGATTTTCTGCTGTTGGCAGATATGATCAATGTGGTTAGCCAAATATAATGTCAGAGCTGAAAGATGATCATACAACATCATTTAATGTTCTGTATACTGTCATGTATTACTGGGTAACATCACTGAGTGGGAAATCAGCCAGGCTTAGCCAGAATCTGGGCCTTGTTCCCAGGTTCATCAAGATGATGTTCTTGATCAGTGTATTAACTGCCACAACTTTATTATTACCTTCTTCAAAAGAAGAGATGCCTTCAGCAAGTACTTTTGAAAATCCTGTAAGTATTTATCTTTGGGTATCTAAGTGACCTTTGAAACTCCAGTCCACAATGAGCTGGAGGAACCCCACGATCTGTCCTCTCCCAGCCTGACCTCACCTCTTCACCGATCCCCTGCAAAGCATCACCTGTCTCGCTTGTACGTGCTTCTGCCCATGTGAACAGATGCTGCTCTTACTAGATCTCCTCATTACACACACCACTAGGACACATTCGCCCTTCCCTGCATCCTTTAACACAAAATCTATTGTTTAAGAATAACTGAACAATAGACAGAAATAGAAGAGTGTGCCTACCACAAAGTTATTTAAAAAAAAAAAAAGTTTTAAAAAAGCATATAAATAATGCAGCTATATGTCGTGCAGAGGAATCTGTATCCAAAGAATTACTTTGGCTTGGAAGCTTTAATTAAAATAGCAATCAAGAAAGTAATGAACCAATGTAGGAAAGAATGACACTCCTCTCCATTGCTGAACAGAGGACAGATGCACAAATACAGCAAAGTGAATCAAAGACAGTGTTTTAAATAGAATGCTGCAAACTCAGGTAAACAGAATTCTTCTCGCTGTTTCTAGGGTGCTTGCATGGCTTGGATCAAACATTTAAAATAAAGGTTGAGAATGTCAATAGACACAGCTGCTAGTTCTACATACCTTGTTCACATGACAAAAAAAACCAAGGGCCAGTCACATGCATTCACAGTGCTTCTCCTCTATTAGAAACTACACAAAATACAACATTTTGCAGAAATCATAAACATGTAGATACTGAGCTACAAAAGCATCTTCAATGGGATCATGACGATTCCTTTGTAATGTTTGCTCATTGTGACTAAGCAAGTTTTGTAAATGTACTACTACTGATAATTACTGCAATACGAAAGAACATTCACCTTAAGTTTCTATCAACTCCACATTTTACGGTATTTTAATTCTAGGTGAGGGTAATCTAAATTTCTGTAGTTGAGAAATTTA